TATTATTGCTACACTGCTATCTGATTTTACTGTACATACTGCTGCTGTTTAATTTAATCGTGACCAAATAAAAATTTGCAACGTAAAAAGGTAACGCTTTAGATTACAACCCGCAATGTACTGCGTAAGTAAACAGAATTTACAGCGTAACTTTTTTTGTAATTACAGTGTACCTATTCAGTACCTCCGTGTAGGTATAAGGTATAAATAGGAATAAAGGAGTAATAATCTGTAAAATTACAAATTATTTCTACTGTAAGTATTTTGAAACTAAAATTATAAAAAGTATATATCGTCTTTCTAAATCATTCCCAAACATAAGATTGTTGTTTAGGTCATAGATACCATGTAATTTTAGAATAAGCACCTCTTAGTTTCAAAATACTTACAGTATAAATTATTTGTAATTTTACAAGTTGTTACCCCTTTATTCTCAAAACTTCGCATATTATTCCCTTATACCTACACGGAGGTACTGAATAGGTACACTATAATTACAAAAAAGTTACACTGTAACTTCAGTTTACTTACGCAGTTCTTTGCAGGTTCCATATCTGGTTGTTACCCCCTTATTACCCAAACGTGACACATTGTTCCCTTATACCTACACGTATGTTCTTTATAGATACACTATAATTACAGAAACGTACACCGTAAATTCAGTATACTTACATAGTTCTTTGCGGGTTGTAATCTAAAGCGTTACCCGTAAAAATGCTATGCATACTGCTGCTGAGAAAATTAATATTCTCGATGACTGAATGCCAATGCTGCTGCTACTGCTTAAAGAAACTGAACTTCTGTAAGCTCCATTAATTAGGCATCGGTAGCTAGGCAAATGTCTAATTTTTTTTCTAACACAGTGTCTACACCAGACGCGAGCGGCACAATATAACAAAATCAATAGAACCCATCACAATGCGATACGACCATGCAACAACTCCCGACGGTAACCAAAGCCCTATTTGCTGCTTCCACGTGTACTGTTTCAGCGTGGCACTGTGATCACTACCAGCAAGCTTTTCACTGTACCCTCACACAACTACATTGATTATTTACTTCTGCTACTGCTGCTATTGATACTATTCACTAACATTTCAGTACTGAGTTGTAATACATGCTGTTGCTTTTAATGATATTCGCAATGTTGCAGTATGAGTACTGTGCGAACTACTGCGGTTATAATATGTAATCAGAATTTGATAAGCATAATCTACAGCTGCTGCACAAAACCTGCTGTAAGTCCTGTTGAATAAGCAAAGAATAAAATGCTTATTTCACCTAAAGAGTTCACTTACCATCCATGCATTATCACTGAAATTTCATGCAACTAAAGTACTTTCTGCTGCCACTGCTATATTAGCAACAATAATAATTGATTTGCTATGCAGACTGCTGCTTATATTGTTTCTAACATTGCATCTGATTTTGCTATGCATTCTGCTGCTATTACAATTTGCTAAAATTGCGATCTGAATAGCTATGCAAACTGCTGCACAAAAGTACTTAGAATTACTATAAGCATTTTTATTAAACAAGCAAACGCAAACAAATAATGCCTATTTCGCTTTGAAGAGTTCACAAAATTTCTGTAAGCCCTGTTAAATAAACAAAGTAAGAAAAGCCTATTTCATTTTAAAGAGTTACTTACCCCATGTGTTATCACTGAAATTTCATGCAACCAAAATACTTTCTGCTGCCGCTGCTATATAAGCTACAGTAAAAATTTGACTTGCTAAGTATGCTGCTGCTAATATTAGTTCTAACATTGCATCTGAATTTGCTACGCATACTGATGCTATTAAAATTCGCTACATGCAATCTGAATAGCTATGCATACTGCTGCTACAGCTGCACAAAAGTACTTAGAATTGCTAAGCCCTTTTATAAATAAACAAAATGCAAATAATGTCTGTTCGCTTTGAAAGTTCACTACCATCCATGCTTAGTCACTGAAATTTCAGCAACTACAGTCTACCTACTGCTGCCGCCACTAAAAATATTATTTGATTATGATTTGCTATGCATACTGCTATTAATAATTCACTAATAACGCAATTAATCTAAATTTCTATGATACTGCTGCTACACTCCATGAAAGTACTAGAATTGCTGTAAGCCCAGCTGAATAAACATATATTAAGTTCTAGTTTAAGAGTGTCCTACTATTAGGCTACATTGTACACAGGCTACTGATTGGAAATTATTTATTATTAGTAGTATCTTTATATTTTAAACAAATTCCTGATTAATTATCTTTAAACTATCACTAAACATGACTTTCATAATAAACTCTTCTCTATCGCTGAACCAACGGTAACGAGTAAAATAGAGACGTGACCCCTTTAAGAGTGAGCGCTCCCTTACATGAAGCAGAAGCAAGCTCATGCATCGTGATACTCTCCACAATGGCGGTGCGCCGTTGCAGACAGGATACGTAGGAGAAAAATTGTTGAATAAAGTCATTATTTTTGTTTTCTTTTCGCACAAAAAGTATTCTTGTAGCTTCAGAACATTACGGTTGACCTGGAAACATTTCAGTTGCATTGTTGTCTATGCAGGGTCAGTGAGCTCTCAGATTTCATCAATTTGTGTTCCGAAGACGAACGAAGGTCTTACGGGTTTGAAACAACATGAGAGTGAATAAATAATGACTGAATTTTCATTTTTGACTGAACTAACCCTTTAAAGTTTCGCTATTAATAGAGAAGCTGCTGAACACTGTTGAGAGACGCACAGACTAATGTAATTCAAACGCTTAATCTCTCTCTCTCTCTTATAACTTGAACTATGAACTGCATTAGTCTGCTATCAACGGCTCAAGCCTCTGTTACCAGGTCTAAAATGACATTTTGGAATTAGCAACGGAGGACGCCTATGTCCTGTGTCATCCACTGGAACGCCACTCTCTCGTGAACATGAGTACATTAGTTAGCGGAGCTAGAGATTACGGTTTATAACGGCCTTCATTAACCGGAGCCATGTGAAGCACTTTTTATGATAGATTTATGCACTTTATTGGACTTCTATTGGACTATTGAATATCAACAGCCATTCGCTATCATTATAAAGCTTGGAAGAGCCTGGATATTTTTTTTAAATAACTCAGATTGTATTCGTCTGAAAGAAGAAAGTCATATACACTTAGAATAAATTGAGGGTGAGTAAATTATAGGATAATGTTCATTTTTGGGTGAACTATCCCTTTAAATTCTATTGTTTTATGCCTGAAAAACCTCAAGCACTGTTTATTTTATTTAGAAATACTTAAAAGCTGCATGTCATTATTTTAATTTAATATGTATTAGTTGAAATATTACTATTAAATGCAATATTAAAACGCTATAAATAAATATATTTTTTTACTGTGAATTCACAATTGGTACAGAAACTGGTGAAATTTCACTGGTATTGGTATCAGCTACTGAAAGTGGTTCATGATAACCCTATAGTGTAGAATGAAGTGTTTTGTCTGACCACACACATACACATAGATTCATAGACAGACTGCTCTGATTCACTAACCCCAACCAAACTAGGAGCACCTTTCCACTCTTCACCACCTCATCACTTTGGTAGCTATGGCAACCACATCATCCTCACCAATACATGTCTCTCTCTGTTTCTGCTCAGTATTCTTCTCATACTAATGTCACAGTGTGTCCTCTTCTGTAAGAACCTTCCAGTAGTAGGTTATAGGGGATCTCTGGAAAAGGCATTCAACTGCAATTTAACACCACTGTATTGCTCACCCAAACCCACTGTCTTTCCACCGTGAACTGTTCCTGAGAACCAATTATAGCTTTTACAAATCAGATCCTTCGATTTCATGGTTTACTTAACAAACAGAAGCACCCCTGAGCAGAACGGATGAATATTCACGATAAACATACTAACAATCAAATAAACAGTCCTTTAATACAGATGTAAGCAATAATATCATATCTCACTAGTGCAAAATCTCTGGTTTAAATTGACTTTTTATTTGTACTTTTCATAAAGTCTCTTTAAGGGATTGTTTAACCACAAATGAAAATTCTGTCAATATTTACTCATGTTGTGTACTTATGTTGTTCCAAATCTGTATGATTTAAATAGAAAGATATAATAATAAAAATATAATATAATATAATTACATATAGTAATAATAATATTTATTTAAAAATAACATTTACAGATTTCATTATTGATTTAAAATTCCTTAATTTACTAATTACACCTAAATAATCAACAGTACCAATTACTATGTGCATTAGAGTGTACTGTAGTTTTTGTGAATGTGTTTTAGCTCTTTTCTATAGTAATGTAACTCCAGTCCTCTGGGCCGGTGTTCAAAGAGTACTGACATGCTGATACATATCTGTGTGTATTTGACTTCCCTCACTGTGCAAACTGAATTGCATATTTTTGATTTCTTTTCTGACCCAAGTAATGTATTCCAGGGTCGTCTGGTAGGCGGTGAAATGCTGCATTTGTCTGATGATAGATGGCATGCCTTTATGTACATGTCACTGCATTTGATTTCAATGTGTAAATGAATTAATGCAAAAATGCTTGAGAGGCAAAATGTTTGTGTTTTGCTCCCACGTGCAAGCATATCGCTGCAAAACAAACATTAATGAATACATAGCCATGTGTGTGCGTGTGTGTGTGTGTGTGTGTCTGTGTGTCCATTTAAAAGGAATGGTTATGTTTCTGAGAATCATACAATTACACTTAACTTGCATTGAAGAAAAGAATGGTCTAGTTTTACAGTTTCTGAGTGGATTTTTCTTTTATACTTTTTAGTTCTTCAAAGCTTTATTGCAACAGAGACAAATTTGACAATATGATTGGACACTGCAGCTGCACTTGTACAAATGTGTGCCTTAGTACGCAAAGAATCTCTGAATCAAGGATTCAGATGAAACTTCAAAATGTACAATGAAAAAAATAATAATTCAACAAGTATAAATATGTTGGCCAAGCTGAAAGATTCAGATATAATATCAGAGACTCACCTGTATATGATGCAGGCACTGTTACGACATGTGTCACAGTTGGCTGTATCCTGCCCAGTTCGATAAGACAGTCTGTGGAAAAACAGTGTGTGATAAATGTAGCATCTGGAAACAGTAGAATTAATTAAACTTAAAGGGATAGTTCAAACAAAAGTAAAAATTCTATCACAATTTACTCATGCTCATTCCAAACTATTCTATTGCAAAAAATGCAGTTCCTTGAACTTTCTGTTAATCAATTATTAATCAATACAACAGTCTTCAAAATTGGTAATAATAAGAAATGTTTCTTGAGTACCAAATCATCATATTAGAATGATTTCTGAAAGTTCATGTGACACTGAAGACTGGAGTAATGATCCTGAAGATTCAGCTTTGCCATCACTGGAATAATTACAGTTTAAAATACATTAAAATAGAAAATATTATTTTACAGTATTTTACTAATATTTCACAATGCTGTTTTTATTGTCGTTTTGATTCAAAACAATGCAGCTATGCTAAGCATGAGATAGGCCTATATAATTATATTTAATTCAATAAAATGTTTTAATTGATTTACAGCCTTAATTATTTCTTCTGCATTGGTGTCTTTTATTAACACAGGGCCTCTTGCAGATTATTGTTTTATTCTGCCCCGTGCCCAGGATTTCTATACATTATTTCATGATGGAAGACACCAGGATTGAATTCCCTGTATCTATACACTGTTCATTTGTGGCCCTTGGGCTTCAGCAGCATTAATGTATGTACAAGGGGATGATGGATCATGCACTAGCCTGGCATACTTGAAGTGGTTTTGATATATTATTTGTGTGCTAATGTAACACATGCCTAGCATTTCTCCAGAGACAATAACAGGGCTGCACCCAGCAGCCATGCAGTTATGCATTTTCATTAAAGCTTAATTAAAGCCTAATTGGATCACTTTATCCCTCTGAGCGCTCAAGTGTCAGGATGGTCATTGATATTCTGCATTCAGTTCGATGTGACGTTGCTGAGGAGTTCACGGCGACAGTGGTTACACACATTATGTCCAAACGTAGAAGAGCGATGTTTTGCTGCAGCAATGCAGTCAGCACGAACAACACCTGAACTGAGCTTTTACTTTACTTGCTTATAGACTAAAATAATATCTTTCCCTGTCTGCTCAGAATCAGGGCACTACGTCATGGTAGGAGAAAGCTGTATTTTAAAGGAAGAAAATCAATATGTTCAATATGATCTGGAATAAATAGGAATGAGATGAGATTGAACCCTTCCTCGTGGCAGAAGCACTCGAGAAGAAATATCCTAAAGGTCAGGAAGCCAATGTGATGATGAGGTCTGTTGGAGGTGTGTGCTAGTTCCTGTGTGTTTAGGAATGTACATGAAAAATCTGTCATCAATTACTCACACTAACATCGTTTCAAACTTGAATGATTTTCTTTCCTCTGTGGAACACAAAAAAATATATATATTTTATAAAAAGTGGGGTCCACTGTAAGGTGTGCGATATTTGTTGTCTACGTTAAAATTGTAATTAACGATGTGTGCGCTGACAGCATGTTACTCACATTGTGAAATTCAGTGTTTCAGAACTGAATGAATCTGAATGAATCATATGATTTTTAACAAAATCATTTGAGTGAATGATTCAATAATCTATTCAGATCTGGAATAAATAGGAATGAGATGAGATTGAACCCTTCCTCGTGGCAGAAGCACTCGAGAAGAAATATCCTAAAGGTCAGGAAGCCAATGTGATGATGAGGTCTGTTGGAGGTGTGTGCTAGTTCCTGTGTGTTTAGGAATGTACATGAAAAATCTGTCATCAATTACTCACACTAACATCGTTTCAAACTTGAATGATTTTCTTTCCTCTGTGGAACACAAAAAAATATATATATTTTATAAAAAGTGGGGTCCACTGTAAAGGTGTGCGATATTTGTTGTCTACAATAAAATTGTAATTAACGATGTGTGCGCTGACAGCATGTTACTCACATTGTGAAATTCAGTGTTTCAGAACTGAATGAATCTGCATTTTTTAACAAAATCATTTGAGTGAATGATTCAATAATCTATTCATAAAACTTTGTTTCTGAATGAATCAGTGATTTTGAACAAATTGCTTGAATAAATGATTCAGTGACTTACTCATTAAGACAGTGACTTGGCTCCACTTGCGGTTTTGGTTTTATATTTTAAAGGGTTAGTTCACCCAAAAATGAAAATTCTGTCATTAATTACTTTCATGTTGTTCCAAACCCATAAGACCTTCGTTCATCTTCAGAACACAAATTAAGATATTTTTGATGAAATACGAGAGCTCTCTGACCCTCTATAGACAGCAAGGGTACTACCACGATCAAGGCACCGAAACATAGAAGGACATCATTAAAATGGTTCATGTGACATCAGTGGTTCAACTATAATTTTATGAAGCTACAAGAATACTTTTTGTGCAAAAAGAAAACTGAAACTGCATTCAACAATTATTCTCCTCCGCGTCACCCTAGAGTGCCATATTGGAGAGTATCACAAAGCAAAATATATATATATATTAATATTAAATATCTAAAATATATTTATAAATATATACATTTAAATATAAAACTAAAACTGCATTGAAAGCACTTAAAAGCAAGTAAGAGTTTGACATAAAGTTGACACATATACCTACATCCAATAAGGTAAAAATTGCCACTGGAAATCAATTTAGAGAGGCAAATAGCAACCCTTAATGAAAAAGCAGATTTCTGTCATTGCTGTGAACTAACCACTGCACATAATTTGAAATATACAAAAAGCTTTTGTAATCAACTGCCCACAACAGGTCTAAACCAGCACAAAAACACACTCAGCAAAATACTGTCTAATTATCATTAACAACAAAATCTCATTTTTGTTAATACTGCACAGTCCTAGTACAATGTTGTTTTGGACCCAACTAACATTCACTGTATGTGCAAAAACAACTGAAATATTCTTCAAAATATCTTCTTTTCTGTTTTGCAACAGAAAGAAAGTCAACCAGGGGTGCGTTTCTAAAAAGTAACTATGGTCACAAGTTCCGTCATTACCAATAGAGTTCAATGGAACTAACGACAATAGTTAGCTTACAATGCTCTTTGGAAATGCAACACCAGGTTTGGAACAACATGAGGGTGAGTAAATAATGACAGACTTATCATTTTTGTGTAAACTATCCCTTAAAGCTAGTATCACCAGCTGGTAGCTGGTTTGTTACTTACTATATCTATCTTACCAGCTACCAGCTTAGATGGTCTACCAGCTTACACCAATTAATAAAAAGCTTAGACCAGCTAGAAACCATGTTCCAAAACAGCTATGGAATAATTTAGAGCTGCCAGGTCCCTTTCTCATCTGTGAAAGTGTGAATGTGTGGAGCATACAGTAACATTATGTATATATTTCAGTTCTTTTAAAATAAGTATTGATCAGACTGTGTGTGTGTGTGTGTGTGTGTCACTGAATCACACAAGTGCTTTGTGTTTTTTCCCTAGGAGCTGGCTCTCAGTTATTGTAGGCATCAGCTCTGTTGAAAGACACGCTCTGCCCTCTCTCACTGGAGGTGTGCCCTGAGTGTGCAGGGAGGTGGCACACTGCTACGTTCCTGGAATAACCTGTGAAAATCTGATACTGGCAGCAGAATCACATCTACACACAGTGTAATAGCGCGCTAATGTTTCTTTCTAACGTGAATACACAATGGTTCGGTATGTCATTGAAATTCAGCGAATGCTATTAGGACATACTCATGTTTGCACATGCTAATGAAAATGATACGTGACACTGTCAGCAAGAGCGGCATCTGATGATACTCATATTGAAGTCCCTTGACTTGCGCTGGAAGCTGCTCATGGATAATTCATTTGTTGATCATCAAAGACAGAATATAGAGTGAAGAACTAGATTTTTATGTTATCTAAAAAAATGTGAATGATGCTTGCATAGGATAGGGAACCAGGAATCAGTTGATGTTTGATTCCCAGTAACGGTTCTCGAATTTGCGGAGGGATGGAACAACATACTGAAATTCTTGAACAGTTTCCAGCAATATTTATTCAACAGTGCTGCAACACAGAACCTGAACAGGAACCTTAATGCAAAGCACACAACGTGACCAGTGTAGTCCGTTTACAGAACAGATGACTCTCATGAGTAGGGGTGTGCCATATCATACCGTCCACGATAATACCGGTATAAATTTTTACATGATAAAAAAGTGTCAAGTGACGCAATGATGTATGGCGCATTTACGTTCCCTAGTGCGCACAACAACAACAACACAAACCCAATAGGTGTGTTCGACTTGAAGCAGCGCTGCGCAGACTGATCGGTGTATGACATTAAAGTATCACGAGAGCGGTTCTAGAGCATATTCGAGCGCACACTCTTACCTTCAAAAATAGGCGAGGCACCTATCTGAGAGATGGAGATCCGCTTCTGAAACGTGCCGTGGCGCCGCTGGTGTAAACACAAGCATTGACTAG